GGTTTCTCTCCTGAGTGGATCTTTTTGTGGCTTCTAAGGCCACTGCCCTCAGTAAACGTCTTTCCACACTCCATGCATTTATAGGGTTTCTCTCCTGTGTGGATCATCTTATGGGAAGTAAGATGATATTTTCGAGCGAAGGTTTTTCCACAGTCCATGCATTTATATGGCTTCTCCCCTGTGTGGATGAACTTATGGGAAATAAGATGGCCACTTTGAGCAAAGGTCTTTCCACACTTTATGCATTTATATGGTTTCACTCCCAAATGGATCCTTTTATGAACAGTAAGTTGCGAGCTTCTTCTAAAACATTTTCCACATTCCAAACATTTATAAGGCTTCTCTTTTGTGTCAATCACTTTTTGAGATGTAAGAAAGTTATTCCCAGGAGAAAGAATGAATGTCCCATTGTAATTTTGTCCATTGTGTCTTCTTATAGCATCATCTCCTTTGTTTTGCATCGGAGCATCAGTGGAAGATGAGCTTTCCGGATTCCAATTCTTTGACTGGTTTCTCTCGTGGCTTTCGAATTCCATTCGAATTCCAAACTTCTCCGTTCCATCTTTAGCATTGATCACTTGGAACAGTTCACAGGAATCTTGATTTTCCAGCCCATTATTACCTTCAAAGCAAAAGGGAAATGAAATAATAACAAGGTTAGAGAAAAAGACCGAAGTGTAGAAAGTCAAGTGAATTTCCTTCTGAATTTCTCCAAAATTCCATTAGGTAGTATGTTTGCATGCCTACAGTGGTGTGATATGATTTCTATATTCAAGAGTCATGAAAGCTTTGAAAAGATCTAGAAAACATCTCTGTCTTTACAATTATGTATATACAGTATATGCAATTCTCACTCAGAATCAGTTTTGAGTTAAGGAACAGAATTGCTTGATTCCCTCTTCTTTGTGGCAGCCCCAGAGATAATGGAAAACTGTGATCATGTCTCCCCAGTCCTTCTTTACATTAAACTAGACATACCTAATTCCAGCAACCGTTCTTTATAGGTTTTAGTCTCTAGTCCCCTAATCATCTTTGTTGCTCTTCTCTGCACTCTTTCTAGGGTCTCAACATCTTTTTTACAATCGTGGCAACCAAACCTGGATGCAGGATTCCAAGTGTGGCCTTACTAAGGCACTATCAAGAGATATTAACGCTTCACGTGATCTTGATTCTATCCCTCTTTTTATGCAACGTAGAAATGTGTCGACTTTTTTGGCAGCTGCTGCACATGGCTGGCTCATAATTAAAAGGTTGTCCATTAGGACTCCAAGATCCTTCTTACAGTTATTACTATTGAACAAAGTACCGCATATACTGTACCTGTGCAATTTTTTTGCCCAAATGTAGAACCTTATTTTTTCACCATTGAATTTCATAATAATCAGGAGAAACATCCAGGGAGGAATTAGGAGAAAACTTAAGATTTATTCGGGCACTGCAGTATTTTGTGCCTGTGTTCATTTAAAAACTGAGGACTGCATGAGATCCAGGGCAAAACTCTTTGAAAACAAAGAGGCCTTTCCTCTCTTTTGCCCTGGATCTGCTGTAGGCCTTGTTTAGCAGTGAACAGAGGCCTAAAGCACTGTAGTACGAGATCACGTGAGATCAATAGTGCTAGATTTCCCACTACTGATCATGCGTATCTCTCACTACTCTTTTTTCTGCAAATGCACTGAAGTCGGCAAGGTAACCAATGGCTCGCCACATCGTCGCAAGGTACCATGTTTTTCAGACTATAAGACGAACCTAGCTTTAGAGAACCAAAACAAGAAAATAAAAGTTTGGGACCTCCGCACATCTCATTTTTGCCCTACCCGGCATCCAGAAGCACTCTCCGTGCCAAAAACGGGCCCATTTTTGGCTTGCCAAACCCTCTGTGCGTCCCATTCTCAGCCTCCCTGACACTGGGGAGGGAGAAAAGGGGACATGCGGACGCCTCTGGAGACCAAAAGTGAGCCTGTTTTTGCCCTGCAGAGTGCTTCTGGACGCCTAGGAGGGCAATAACAGGATGCACTGTGGGTTTGGAAAGCCAAAACCAGGCCCAAATTCGCTCTGTAAGATGAACACACATTTCCACCCACTTTTTTGAGGGGAAAAATGCATCTTATAGTCTGAAAAATATGGCAAGTCCCTGCGAGATGGTGTGGGGGAATAAGTAGGGCAAATATTGTAGCGCCTCTACTGTCATTCGTAAGTGTGAATGACCGTGGAGCTGCAACACTCATAAATTTTGGGACTGGGTCTCAATACTTGGGGGAGAAATGGTTGTAACTTGGAACGTTCACTAAGTGAACTGTGGTAACTTGAGGATTACCTGTATCCTAGGATACTCTGTGTCACACTGCATGAGGCCTTTGTTCTTGAATTGGATTGGGAGAGTGATCTTCCATGGCCTGAGCATGAGAGGTTCTGTTCTCACACAATTTGGGGAGGTTTCAGAGGACAAATGACAACACACTCCTCTCACATGACATCCAGAGGACACATAAAAGCATACTGATATGTATATGTAAATAACGTAGTTGGGTTGACAATATATAAACTACAAATATATATGTTTGTAGCTTTAGGGAAAAATACTGTAAAGTATGATGTTGTGTTCTAGTTGGTTGATTATGCTACAAGTTGCCATAAGAGGGAGCTATAGATCATGGTTTAACTCTCTTTTTCACTGATTATCTCTCTTGATACTGATCCTGAGTACGGACTGATACTGACTAACCCTGTTTATTTATATTCTTATATACTCTCTATATAAGAGTATATCTTATATTTATATTCTATACTCTACTGACTAATCCTGTTTATTTATATTCTTATATTGAAGTTTATCTGTGGTATTATGGTTTGATATTTTTCTGCTGTAAAAGACGTGAAACCAGTAAGAAGACTTTATAACTGGATATTTCGGGCCTGATAAAAAACATGTATAACATGGACTGTTTATTGGATTGTGCTATTTCTTCAAGTAAACATTAACACAACTTGTTTAACACTGTGTGGCTGTATATTTATTCATAACTGCTCTCATAAACCGTTTTCCATGTACATATCCTTTTTATACAAGGGTTACTCTGCACATATCCTAACACACACCTCATTCTTTTCAGCCTCCACAAATAAGTTCAAATACAAATGGAAAAATACAGAAAAGAAATGGCACAGAAAGTATCTAAACAAAGAGACATTGAATCTTTCCTTCTTTGGAGCACCACAAGGACATCCTTTCCTTCTCCCTCCCAAGAGAGAATACATGATCAGTGGTATTTTAATAAAAAAACTAACTATAATCTCTCTTCTTGATTGGGGACTAGGAAACTCTTACCCAGAGCAACCACGTTCCTATGGTTTTCAAGCATGACTTCCGAATGCAGCGCTTTCTGGTCAGGATCCAGCTGAGACCATTCCTCCTCAGAGAAATACACCGCCACCTCCTTGAAGGACACAAAACCCTCCTGGACATGGAAAAAAGAGCAGAAAAGGAGAATTCACGAGATCTGTTACTCTTCATCATTGATTTAGACAAGAGGATAGAAGGGGAACTCATCAAACTTGCACACAAGACCAGACTGACAGGAATGCCAACACTCCAGAAGATAAGCTCGAGATATAGAAGGATCGACAGACTGGGCCCCATCTAATAAAACGAAATCAAGAGTAAGAAATGTTCTACGTTTAGGAAAGAAAAACCAAATGCAGTGGCATAAAATAGGTGATAGCTGGCTCCACAGTAGGAAGTGCAACAGGGATCTTGGAGTCCTAGTAGACAATCACTTAAACCTGAGTCAGCAGTATGCTATAGTTACCCCCCCCCCCAAAAAAAAAAACCCAACAGAATCATAGGCTACATTAAGAGGGAAGAATCAAGATGACATGAAGTGTTAGTACTATTTTATAATGTCTTGGTAAGGCCACACTTGGAATATTGCACCCAGTTTTGGTTGCCAGATGTAAAAAAAGATCTTGAGACTAGAAAGAGTGCAGAGAAGAGCAACAAAAATTATTAGTTGACTGGAGGCTAAAATACTGTATATAAAGAATGGTGGCTGGAATTGGGTATGTCCAGTTTCATGAAAAGGAGGACTAGGGGACACGTGATAGCAGAGTTCCAAGAAGCAATGAATGGAAACTGTTCAAGGACAGAACCAACCTGCAAGTAAAGATAAATTTCCTGACAGTGAGAACAATTAATCAGTGGAATGACGCCTTCATAAATTGTGGGTGCTCCAACACTGGCAGTTTTTATGAAGAAACTGGACAGCCATTTATCTGAAATGTTATAGGGCTTCCTGTCTGAGCAGGGGGTTGGACTAGAAGACCTCCAAGATCCCTAATGTTATTCTGTTACATTGTTCCCAAATTCCCAAAGCAGAGATATGCACTAAATTAAATGGCTGTGCGTAACACAAGTCCTAATTTTAGGTGAGAAAATTGGCAAATCTGAAAATTGCTTTCACTGAAGAAATATTTCGGGAAGTTTTATCTAGTTCACTCATTCTGCAAAACCATCAATGACTTTCAGTAAAGTAATCTCACTTCTGGATCAACTGATCTATCGCTCTGTCTGTCATTGATTGATCTAGTAGTCTGAGCCATCGGCTGAAAGAGGAGAAAATTCAGTGGGAATGTCATTTCTCAGCCTTTGCACAGCAGGAATGTTTGATCTCCTAATCGAGGAGCAAATCAGAGGATTGGAAATTATTTTATATCCCTAAGTACCATAATTACATGCTCAATGTGGCTACTCCCTTTGGAGTTTAATAGTTTGCTTTATTTTTTTAATACGATTGACTTATTTTTGAACTTCAGGTTATAAATGAGGCTTTTTTAAAATGGTAATGTGGCAATGTGTTCCTTTTTTATTAGCCTTGCACAATTCCGAGTCAAAGAATTTCCCCACAAAAAGGGTCTCTAGCAGTTTCTGCCACTGTGATACATTTATTCCTATTTCTGGAAGGACTTTTTAAAAATTGCTTCTCGTAAACTACAAGTTGGAGGAGAACCTAGCAGAACAAGATAACGAGAGGAAGCTATGATGGCTGATAGCAACTTGAATCTGCTATTCTGCTGCCCGTGTTGTGGAAGAACACAAAAATAATCCAGGCCAAACAAGGGGGGGAAACAGGAGAACAGAGCACCCTGCACACCAGCTTCACTTCCTGAAGGAAGAATTCAAATCTAATAAACTTTTCCCTTTCTTACTTGATTTGGAGGTTCAACCGCTGTTTGATCGTCATAAAAACCAGGAAGCTTCATTCTTTGTTCCCCTGTAAGGATTAAATAATTTCAAAATGCATAATTAACAAAATAGGAGGAGGTATTCTATAGGAGAGGAGGGAAGGGAAGACAGGTGGGGAATCGGAGGATCTTCCATTACCTCCTGAGGTGTCCTGACTTGGATCTTTCCTAGGGATCTTCCGGAAAAATAGCTCCAAAGGGGGATTTGATGGGTTCTTCTTTCCCTCAGGATTTCTAATCTCCACAGTGTAGTGCTTCAAATAGAAGGAAGGAAGGAAGAAGCAGAATTAATATATGTCACAAGACATAAAGTGGATTCATATATTCAGAACACAACCTCAAAGCTCCCAATATCCATCTGTGTGGCTGAGTGAGAAAACAGTGGAACAATGTCCTACAAGAACTGGAGAACTGCCTCATATTACGAACGTGGGAGACATTTGGGAAGGAGGAGTGAAGCATTCAAGCACTCTATTTATTCCCTTCCGAGCTCCCTAAAGTCTCCCACCTGCCACTGGAGCTGCTCCTTCTGCTCCTCCACCTGGCTCAGGAGAAAGCCTTCCGCCAGGGCCACCGCCTGGGAGCTGCTCTCTGCTCCACACTCCCGCACCCAGCCCTCCATCTCTGGGGGCAGGAGAGCCACGAGCCGCTCCAGGACTACCAGGTCTAGCATCTGCGCTTTGCTGTGCTTTCCTGGGCTCAGCCAGCGCCTGCACAAGTCATGGAGTCGGCTGCAAAGTCCTCGGGGACCCTCAGCCTCCCGGTATCGGATGGAGGTCCAGGGTGGAACTTCTGAAGGAAGGAGGGTTCCCTCCTGCAGGACGTTCTGACCGGTTCTGGTCCAGCTCTCCCCACAGCTCCCAGGCTGAAGGCCTTTTCTGCTCCCCTCCTTGGCCAAAGGGGGTGTCTCCATCCTTCCTCTCTCCGGCAGAGCAACTCCAAAGGGCTCCAGGGACTCTGGGGGGTCTCCAGGGGCCTCTTCCTTCACGAGACCATTTCTGCAAACATAGAACGGATCCCTGCTGGTCCTTCCTTCCTTCCTTTACCCGCCGAGGAAATCCTGGCTTGCAAAGGCTTCCGAGGGCTTTGAGGTTCCGGATCTGGGAGGGAGAGAAAAACCGACGCCCAGGATCAGACAGGTGGATTCAATCCCTGGACCCCCTTCCACAACCTGCCCACAGCCCCAACTGGCTCCTCCAAGCGCAGGGCACAGCCCCCCACAACCAGGGCTGGGAAGGAGGCAGCTGGAGATCGGCCCCCGCTTCTTTCCCCCTCCAGAGACAGGATAGTGCCCTCAGGGAGCCCAGTGCGAAACCTGCCGCCTCCTCGCCTGGCTTCTCTCCTCTCCTGCTGGGCCTCTGCCAGGCTCCTCCTCCCCCTGGGCAGAGGGTGGCTGGGGAGCATGGGACGTGGGAGGAGCCCCCTCCCTCACCTGTGGCGCATCTGCATGTCCCCTCGTCAGACTCTCCCCCATTCTCACCGCCTCCTTCGGCTCCCCAGGTGTTCAGGAGAGCGAGTGTGGCGTCCTAGAGGGGCAAGACTCAGTGATGTCACTTCCTTTCCTGCCTCCTCTGAGAAGACAGCCGTGATGTTCGCCCTCCAGTGGCTCAATGGGGAAGCGCCTGGAGTTCCCTTCCCTTGGCGGAGGGCACCCCCTGGTGGACTTGGGGCAAAGGGCCAGGAGGGCAGAAAGGGCGGGAAAGAAGAGCGCATTGGAGGGGGAAGGGAGAGGGCGGGGATGATGGGATTGGGAGTAGGGGGAAAGGCCCTTCTCCGTGGCTCCCTGTCAAGGACTTCGGAGGCGGTTCTTTCTCTGCCTTCCTCCCCGGGAACTGTCGGTGGAGATTGAGGGAAAAAGTCTCGCAGAGATCGGAGGAGGCCTCGAAAGGCACCGAGTCCCCTCAGAAACTGCCGGGCGGTGGGAGGACGCAGACCGGGAGCCACACTTGGACGCCCAGCTCATGTCCCTCCTTCCTCCGCCTCCCTCCCGCTCCCTCCGCACAGCCGCCCTTCTCGGGCTCTGCCTCCCTCGGCCTCCCAGCGGAAGGGCAGGGACCCCTGGCCTCTCCTGAGGAGCCCCCGGAAAGGCTCCGTGGGGGAAGGAGGGAGGGAGGCTGGGAGGCTCCAGCGCGGAGGAGGGGAAGCGGGCGAGGAAGCCGAGGGAGGAGGAGGAGGAGATTCCGGGCCTTTCGCCTCAGAGCGACTTGCAGGGCTGCGACTCCCAGGATGGAGCCACCGCTTCTCTGCACCCACCGCCCGAGGCAGGAGGAGCCCTTGGGCCGCCCCGGAGAAACGGGGAGTCTGACCACCTCTCTGGAAGTCCCTCCAGGCCGGATCCCCTCGGTTTCGCCCCACTGGTCCCCTTTTCCCTCCCTCCCAGGGGGACCGACTGGGGCCCCTTCCCTGAAACCGTCGGGCGAGGAGGGGACAATATATATGTATGTATGTATATATGTATATGTGTATATGTATATATGTAACATTGTTTTCTGAGGTTCTCGCGGGTATTTGTATGTGGATCTTTGGTTGTTTGGGTTTTCTCCCACGTA